ATATATATATATACCAATAATATGGAATATACATATACTCACACACTTGCTGTGAACTCTCTGTCTCACTCTATTACATCCTCTCCATCTTTGGAAGCAGCCTTTTCCTCATTTGATTCAGGCAACTGGTGACCATCTTCTAACAAAACTTAAGTGGCTATATCTACGAGGCTCTTATTCTATCCTAACACAATGGCATTTCAGGATCCCAGTTTTACTTTTGGTGGCTATTGTTTAAATTCAGCAGACCCTATCCTGTCAACTTCCTTGCTTAAAAACATTTCTATTCAACAGTGAAGTTTTTGCCTAAGAGAAAAGAGATGTTAGCTGGAAATATTAAAATAATGTATTTATTACTCCTTAATATAAATCTGCATGGTTGGACTACGGGTAATATTTATCCTGTGAGTTATTTTTCAAATGTTTTACTATGGGCAATATGTTACTTCCATAATTTAAAAAATATTATTTAACATTATTTTAAAAGAATGAGGGCTAAATGATTTGTTCTGGTTAGAACTTCAAACAAAATTATATGAAGCATGATTAGAAGGGGGCTAATTCTGTGCAGATTACACTGGAGTATCCTTATTTCAGAAGGTATGACTTAGAAGTCATATAAAAAAAGAAGAGCGAAAAAAAACCTTCAGTTTCAAAGCTGGCCATTTGAAAACTTCCAGAATAAACTATAGAAAATATACTTCAGTATTGGTATCAAATTTCACATTTTAAATGTTCTTTATTAAAAAGCAAAATCAATCACCAAAAGCACATGAGAAAGAATACCCTATAAACTTCATAGCAAATGTGTATCATAGTTTGCTCAACTGAAGGCTCCATGAGATGATTTTTAAAACTGATTTCCAAAATCAAATATCTAATAAAGCACTCAGAGATCCATTGACTAGGACTGGAATGGCCAATTTGGAAATTATGCTAATGATAGAGTTGGAGTGTCTATTAGAGTTAGGGGGTGATTACAGGCAGCCCAATCTCTTTGCAAATGGAAGCAATGGAATGTTTTCAGTCCATGGAGAAAT